AATTAAAATACCCTTGAGGTAGGATAGTAAAGGTAGACTGCTGTCCTTGCCTGCTGAAGGCAAATTCTTTCTGGTGGTGCTTTGAAACAAGTATGGAGAAAAACACATTAGCTAGATCAAGCTGCATACCAGGTACCAGGACACGTAATAATTTTCTCAAGCAATGAAACCACATCTGAAACAGCAGCTGTCACTGGAGTCACCAGCTCATTACGTTTACAATAATTCACTGTAATTCTCCAAGATCATCTGTTTTTCAACAGGCCAAACTGGCAAGTTGAATGGGGATGTGGTGGGAATCACCATCCCTGCATCCTTCAAGTCCTTGATGGTGGTAGTTATCTCTGCCATCTCTTTAGGAGTGCGGTATTGCTTTTGGTTTACTATTTTCCTAGGCAGGGGCAGTTCTAATGGCTTGGCCCTTCCTGCTATAACAGCCCGTACTCCACTTGTCAGAGGTCCAATGTGGGGCTTCTGCCAAGTTGCTGAGTATACTCCAACTGTGCATTCTGGAACTGGGGAAATCACTACAGGAGGGGTTCAGGGACCCACTGGATCCACTGTGAGATGGACTTGAGGTAAGAATCCATTAATAACCTGACCTCCATAACCTCCATTCTGACTGGTGGGCATATGGAGGTCAGTGACAATTTGGGTCTTCTGGAATTATTGTCAGTTCAGAGCCAGTGTCCAGTAATCCCCCCAAATTCTTAGTATTTTCTTTTGCCCAAAGAACAGCACTTTTTAAAAAGGCCGTAGATCCTTTTGGGAAAGGCTGAGAGAAAGATTAACAGCATAAATTTTTGGCAGTGTAGTGGAGTCCCTCCTCACGGGGACCCAGCCTCCCCTCTTCATTCAAGGGGCTGTGGGTCTGTAAACTGGCTCAAGTCTGGGAATTGACTATTCTGGCCATTCACTTGACCTAGAATTCTTCCACTTGAACAGATCAAGTAATTATTTTGTAGATATCCTGTCTATTTCAATCCTACAGACACCGTGAGTAAGCAGCCAATGCCACAAATCCATACAAGTCAGACTATTCTGATTACTGCTTTGACTGCTGTCCATTGCAATAACCATGCCCATCTTGTCTTGGAGATTAAGTGTCACCACTTGGCCCTACCACCACAGGGTGCAATCAGCCTCATTGTAGTTAGGTGTCTTACTTCAGTTAGGGCTGTTCTCACTGTCAAATCTAAGTGACATAAAACAGCAATCACAGCAGTCTTCAAGGATACTGGGGCTCCCTTCACAAATTTGTTCCTCACCATTGTGTCTGTGGATCCAACCTGATAAATCTTCTCTAAGATGCAATTTCCCTAAGCCTTTGGATACCTTCCTCTACAGTATACCAAGGCAGGTCTGGCATTTCAACTTGATTTAATGCAGGCCACCGCTTAATCCATGCTTCAGTGGACCAACCAAATAAACCATCAGATCCTTTTCTAACCTCTGGAGCCAAAACACTGAATGAAGAATCTGGACTTCGTGGACCCATATCAATAAACTAAGACTGATCCAGCTTTATGTCCTTGCACCATTATTCCACACCCTTAACAGCCATTCCCACACATATTCCCCAACTTTCTGTTTGCACATATTAGAAAAATCAAGCAGTTCTTTTGGAGTGTAGTGTACCTCCTTCTGGGTCATATTTTGTAGCTCATGTCTTGGGGCTTGCTCAGACTTAAGTCTAGTTGTGTGTCTAAACACAAAATGGGTGGTGGGGGTGGGTCCTGGGAACATTCAGCAATGTCTTGTAAGGCACCTGTCTCAGGTGATACCCCAGGCAATACCTCAGATGAAGACTCTTCAGGCACAGCTGGGTCAATCTCATCAGATGGGGTGAAAGGGATGATGGTTTTAGTTGGGAGGGTGGCTTAGCAGACAAGAGTGGAGTTATCTCTTCAGATGGGAGTAAGAGGGCTGGTTCTGTTGGTAGGAGTGATTCAACAGAATTTTGGGATGACCCAGCTTCCTGATTATCTGCCCATATGTCTCCATCTCAAGTTTTAGGATCACATTTTTTCCCTCACTTTAACTTCAGCCACCACTCGAGGTTGAGAATTCAAGTGGCATTGTGATTCAGCCACTCTTAACGTTAAGACTCTGGATTTGGTTTTCAGCAATATCAGTTCTGTTACTACAAGAGATAAAGCTGTTGTTCAGGGCACAAGTGGCAAATTTGAGGTCTTTTATGTGGTGCTTGTGCTGGGACTCTAAAGCCCTGAGCTCATCTCTTTCTTTAATCACTTTGTCTAGTGAAAGCAGGACCAACCAACCAGCTTCCTTATACTTCTCATTCTGACAAAATTGTAGAAAAGTATCAAATATGCAGTCCCAGAGCCTTGTTTCTCACAAATATTTGATCAGTTGGTGGTGATGTTTTGCATACTGCCCCTTCATGCCATGGATTAGGAGTGCCCTCTTTACTACCGAAGATAGAGTCATTAACACCCTTAAAACTAACCTGACTTGAGAACCAATTTAGAAAACTCATCTTTTCGATTTTGTTTCTCTAGAACTACTCTCGGTACCAAATGTCTAGGCTGGGTTCTCTAGAGGAGCAAAACTAATTAAACATATGTATATACACACACACACACATATATATATATATGCACGTATATACACAAATACAGAGAGACATTTATCTCAAGATAATGGTCACACAGTTGTAGAGGCTGGCAAGCCCCAAATCCGTGGGTCAGGCATCAACCTGGAAGGTTCTCCTGACTCATGTGGCTGCAGTGGCTGATAAACCCAAAATCGGTAGCTCAGAGGAAGGCTGCTGGCTCACAGGTTTGCAGGAGATAGTGAATCCCAATATCTGCCGGTGAGGCTGCAAGCTGCAGGCTGCTGGCTCACATCTCAAGAATGGAGTTCAGAAGATGACAAGTTGGATGCAGGATCCAGAGAGAGTGAGCTTTGCCAGAACATCTGTATTTACTGGATGCAGGCCAGAACCCCAAGGAAACTCCCTTTTCAGTGGATTGGCTGCTCACATCAGGTCACAATATGGATTATAACTATATCAGATCACAAAATGGAGGATGACTACATCATTACATAACTGCCAAACCACTGAGAATCATGGCCCAGCCAAGTTCACACACAACCTCAACCATCACAAACCATATAAAATAATTAACTGAAAGTAGATCAATAACCTAAATCTAAGAACTAAAACCATAAACTCTTAGAAAAAAAACAAAGGGGTTTTCAGGATCTTTTTGTTTTTGGACAATGGATTCTTAGATATGACACCAAAAGCATGTGCAACAGAAGACAAAATAGATAAAATGGACTTCATAAAAATTAAAAACATCTGTATATCAAAGGACTTTATCAGCAAAGTGAAGAGACAATCTACAGATTGGAAGAAAATATTTGGGAACTATGTATCTGATAAGTTTAATATTCAGAACTTATACAAGAATTCCCACAACGCAACAACAAAAAGACAAACAATCCAACTACAAAGAATAATACAAACGGCCAATAAGGACTTCATTAGTCACTAACCCGCTGCTGTCAAGGCGATTTCAACTAATAGTGAACCTATAAGACAGAGCAGAACTGCCCCACAGAGTTTCTAAAGAGTGGCTGGTGGATTCAAACTGCCCACCTTTTGGTTAGCAGCCATAGCTCTTAACCACTGCACCACCAGAGATATGCAAATCGAAACAATGAGATACCACTTAACACTCACTAGTATGGCTATTATAAAAAGATAAAAAAAAAAAAAAGGGTTGGCAAAGAGGAGGAGGAAAAAGTTACAAAATACTTAGGAAGAAATCTAAAAATGAGCAAGACTTAAGATAAAAAAAAGAAACTCATAAAATCCTGGTTAAGCACATAAACAAAGAGCTAAACGAATTTAGAAAGTTATTGTGTTCCTAGATGGAAGGACTGAAAATGTAGAAATGTCAACTCTCAGCCAAACTATATATTTCATACAACTTTAATCAAAATCTTAATAATGTCTTTTTTTTTTTTTTTTTGGCACCTGTAATCCCAAAGGATTAAACCTAAAAAAATCCACAGTGAAACCTAATAGATGAAAACATAAAAATCTTTTCCTAATCAAGATGGCCAAAAGTCATACAGAAAAAGACTGACAAATGTAAATACCTAAAAATAAAAATCCTCTATGCCATAAAAGATGAAAACACAAAAATTGAAAACCAGGAAGATGGAACTAAAATGCTTCCATATTAAAAAAACCTCCACAAATCCTTATGAAAAAACTCCAGTAGCAACAGAAAGATGGTGTTATGGATTGAATTATGTCCCCCCAAAATATGTTGTAAATCCTAACCTCTATTCCTGGGGTTATAATCCCATTTGGGAATGCATTATCTTTGTTATGTTAAAGAGGCAGGATTAATGTAGGGTGTATCTTGAGTCAATCTCTTTTGAGATACAAAAGAGATTAAACAAGTCTGCAGAGGAGAGATTGGGGAAGACAGGTACCAAGACACAAAGAATTCTCCAAGGAACCAGGAAGCAGAAGCTAAAGAGACAAGGACCTTCTTCCAGAACCAACAAGAAAAAGCCTTCCCCTACAGCTGGCACGCTGAATTCAGACTTCTAGCCTTCTAAACTGTGAGAAAATAAATTTGTTTGTTAAAGCTATCTACTTGTGGTACTTCTGTTAAAGCAGCACTTAATAACTAAGACAGATGGGTACTTACTGCAAACCAAAGAAACACAAATGATCAAATAAAAACAAAGAGGTATCATTTTATACTTTTCAAACTGGCAGAGATTTAAAAAACAGACAAAATCAAAGATCCAACCAGATGGTGATTTTAGGGGGTTGGAATTACAGGAACTAAAATTTTCTACATTACCTAGCTCTACAATGCTTGAATTTTATAAAGTGAATGTACCTTACTTCTGCAATTAAAAAAAAGGAAAGAAGAAAAATCAAATGGAATTTTTTAAAAGAGCCACTTTCCAATTTCCTTTCATGAGATTATTGAAAAACATATTACCTCTTGGTCCAGGTTATATTCTTCACTTGAGTTAAGTGCAACCTTTACAGTAATATAATCCCCATTTTTCACAGCATCCCTCAATAAATCTAAAATGAAAGAAAACATAAATAAGGTTTTATATATCTAGAGTTATGAAAAGAATTCCTATAATTCCAAAGCCACTCACTACTTGGAATTGTGTCTGCTGTAGCAAAATTTTCATCTTCTCCATCAAGATGCTTTTGAAAATCTTCTAGTTTCATCCACTCCAACTGTAAGTCCATGCCCAAACTCAAAATTTGTTGCCTGCCATCTGGAATACAGAGAAGTCTTATCAAGATACACCTTTCTGGACTATACTATCTGTTGCTTTATTAAATTTGTGGTGTCTTAATTGAAACTTCATACACACTTTTAACATATATCACTATATAACCCAGTTTTTTCTTTAATTGATAAAATTCCTGATTTTTTGGTAAGTAATATGAACTAGCCACATTTCAGTATTACAGTACTTCAAAGGCATAAAGATGAAAACGTAACCCACAACTATAAAACAGTAAAATAAGAATTTTAAGTACATGACTAAGTAGCTCAAAGGAAGGGAGAAATCACAGGGATTCAGAAAGAAGAATCTCAAGCAATTCTCCCATTACTTTTTCGTCCTTTGACCATTCTTCTTGGATATACACCGCTTCCAACCACTTACTTAGGTAAGGTAACTCTAAATTTATAAACTAAACCTATATGTAAATAAGTCACTGCCTAGGCTCCTTCTAGGCTCAGCTCAAGCTTCTCCTCCTAGATGCTCTCCCTGCTGAGTAACTCCCCCTGCCCCAGTGCTCTCACAACAGCCTGGGCTCCACACCACAAATCACACCTTAAAACAAGTGCTAGTTTCCTCCGCTGTCTGTCTGATCTAAGGGCTCATTAACACTACGGATGAGCACTTTCACTCCTTATAACCAGTACAATCAATAACTGAGATTTGAATATAACTCATTTGGGTGTATTTCAAAATGACTATGTGCTATTTTAAAAAAACAGAAAGCAGAAGTATTTGATGGTAAGTAGTAAAGGATTTTCACCTAAAATCAATTCCTTAAACTACACAGATGTTAGGTAGTTCATCTTGCCACAGAGATGAAGTTTGAGAAGACTTGAAAATAAATGAATTTTTTCCAAAGCCCTAAACTCTACCTAACACTTCTCACTGCTAACTCAGAGAGCATTAAATCACAGAAAAGCACAGCCTTTGCAGCTCCACTTTCTGGATTTGCATCCCAGCTCCATGTTAGCTGTATGGCTTTGAGTAAGTCACATAAATTTCCTATGCCTCAATCTCTGAATAACAACAATAGTGGTAATACTAAAAGCAGCTAACATTCATTAAGACCCGCTAAATTATTTACATGAATTAATTCATTTAATCTACATACAATAACCTATAAAGGGATACTCGTTACAGGTGAGGACAGAGAGGTTTTATGATTTGCTCAGAGACACACATCAGTAAACGGCAGAGCTGTTGCTTGCAGTCAGATGTATCTCACTCCACAGCTGGAGCGCTCCGCCACCATGCCACAGTGCCAGCAATTACAGAGGAGGCAATGTACCATGTGCCATGGAAAGATTTCGGAAGCAAAACAGGGAGGGTTCGTATAAATTGAGATACTACCCTGAAATTTACAGGATTATGATAAGTAACAGAGAGATCTATAGAGCAACTGAAACTACTGGAAAGGGCTATGCTACACCTCAGTTTTTTTGTCTCTAACAAAGCAAACTGGTTCAAAATCCTATCTTCATTCCTACCAAGTTTCTGATCTTGCCTCTGCATACAAGAGTTTTCTTTCTCTTAATTTTTTTTAAAAATTAGACATATATTTAGTGTGTATAACATAAACTCATTGTCCCCTAAGTTCTCATTTCATCTTTTGAGTTGTTTCTTGGCTTTTCTTTAGTCTTCCACGTAACTTTCAGAACTGATACTTGTAAAATTCCCTGAGAAAATATGGTGGGATTTTGATTGTAACTGTAGCGATGCTATAAACCAATCTGAAGAAAAATGACAATTTTATAATCCTGTGTTCCTATTAATAAAAATGTTACATAAAGATTTTAATAACTTTCAAGAAATAGAAATTAATAATTTCCTCCATACTAGCTTTGTATCTCATGAGCAATGTTTAGTAATATTTTAAATTTAGTGCTATTGTAAATTTTATCTTTTAAAATTTAATTTACTATTTGTTGCTGGTGTATAGAAATGTAATTTACTTTTGTACGTTATACCCATTCACCTTGCTAAACTCTTAATATTTTTAATAATCTATTCATAGTTTTTTTGGGTTTTCTACACAGGTTATACCATCTGACAACGACAGCTTTTCTTTCCTTCTTTTCCAATGCTTATACCTTTTTCTTTATTTTACTGTGCTGCCTAGACCATAGTACAATATTAAATAAAACTGGGGATAAAAGGCATATTTGTATTGTTCCTGACTTTAGAAAAAATGTTTTTAATGTTTCACCATTACAAAGATGCTTGTGCCCTTATCCACTATTGGTGGGATTGTAAAGTGGTACAACCACTATGGAAAATGGTATGGAGCCTCCTCAAAAAGTCAGAAATCTGCTCATGGATAGGAAGACTCAACACTGAGAAAATGTGAATTCTGTCCAAAGCAATCTACAGATACAATACAATCCCAGTCCAAACACCAACAGCATTCTTTAATGAGTTGGAAAAACTAATCACTAAATTCATATGGAATGGAAAGAGGCCCCGGATAAGGAAAGCACTACTGAAAAAGAAGAACAAAGTAGGGGGCCTCACACTACCTGATCTAAGAATCTACTATACAGCCACGGTAGTCAGCACAGCCTGGTACCGGTACAACAACAGACACAGAACAATGGAACAAAATCAAGAAACCAGATGTAAACCCATCCACCTATGGTCAGCTGATCATTGACAAAGGACCAAAGTCCATTAAATGGGGGAAAAGACAGTCTTTTTAAGAAAAGGTGCTGGCAAAACTGGATGTCCATCTGCAAAAAAACGAAACTGGACCCATACATCACACCATACACAAAAACTAACTCAAAATGGATCAAAGACATAAATGTAAAACCTAAAACAATAAAAATCATGGAAGAAAAAACAGAGACAACACTAGGGGCTCTAATACATGGCATAAACACAATACAAACCATACTAACAATGCACAAACACCAGAAGATAAATTAGTCAACTAGGAGCTCCTAAAAATTAAACACTTATGCTCATCAAAAGACTTCACCAACACCAGCCCAGGGGCAAGGACTAGAAGGCAGGAGGGGACAGGAAAGCTGGTAATAGCGAACCCAGAAAAAAAAGGGAAAGAGAATAAAGACTTCACCAAAAGAGTAAAAAGAGAACCTAATGATTGGGGAAAAAAATTTTGGCTATGACATCTCTCTCAAAGGTCTAATCTCTAAAATCTACAGAACACTTCAATACCTCAACAACAAAAACACAAATAATCTAATTAAAAAACGGGCAAAGGATATGAACAGACACTTCAGCAAAAAAGACATTCAAGCAGCTAACAGAAACATGAGGAAATGGCTCGTGATCATTAACCATTAGAGAAATGCAAATGAAAACTACAATGAGATACCATCTCACCCCAGCATTACTGGCACGAATCAAAAAAAACTGGGAATAACAAATGTTGGAGAGGCTGCGGGGAGATCGGAACTCTTATGCACCGCTGGTGGGAATGCAAAATGATACAACCATTTTGGAAAAGGATATGGAGCTTCCTTAGAAAGCTAGAAATAGAAATACCATGTGATCCAGCAATCCCACTCCTAGGAATATATCCTAGAGAAATAAGAGCTGTCACATGAATAGATATATGCACACCTATGTTCACTGCAGCATTATTCACAATAGCAAAAAGATGAAACAACCTAAGTGGCTATCAACAGATGAATGGACAAATTATGGTGCATATACACAACAGAATACTACACGATTAAGAACAATGATGAATCAGTGAAACATCTGACAACATGGATGAATCTGGAGGGCATATGCTGAATGAAATAAGTCAATCACAAAAGGACAAACACTATATGAGACCACTACTATAAAAACCCAAGAAAAGGTTTACACACAGAAAAAAACAATCGTTAATGGTTATGAGAGAGGGCAGTGGTGGGGAGGGAAAATCACTAACTAGATAGTAGACAAGCGTTAACTCTGGCGAAGGGAAAGACAACACACAGTACATGGGAAGTCAGCACAACTTGACCAAGGCAAAGTCACAGAAGCTTCCTACACATATCCAAACACCTTGAGAGATCGGTTACTGGGGCTTAGGGCTGGGCACCATGGTCTTGGGGATATCTAGATCAACTGGCTCTACATCCCACTTTGGTGAGTAGGATCTGGGGTCTTAAAATTTTGCAAGCAGTCATCTAAGACACATCTACTGGTCCCATCACATTCAGCAAGAAGGAGAGTGAAGAAAACCAAAGACAAGAAGGAAATTATTAGTTCAAAGGACTAATGGACCACATGAACCAGAGCCTCCAACAGCCTGAGCCCAGAAGAACTAGATGGTGCCTGGCTACACCATCGATCGCTCTGACAAGGATCACCAGAGAGAGTCCCAGACAGAGTGGGAGAAAAATGTAGAACAAAATTCAAATTCACAAAAAAAGGCCAGACTTACTGGTCTGACGGTAACTAGAGAAACCCCCAAGACCATCATCCCCAGACACCCTGCTAACTCAGAACTGAAGCCACTCCTGAAGTCCACATTTCAGTCAAAAATTAGACAGGCCTATAAAGCAAATAATAACACACGTGAGGAATGTGCTTCTTAATTCAATCAAGTATGCGAGACAAAATGTGCAACATCTGCCCAAAAGCAAAGACGAGAAGGCAGGAAGGAACAGGAAAACTGGAGGAATGGACACAGAGAACCCAGTGTGGAAAAGGAAAGGGGGAGAGTGGTATCATATTGCAGGGACTGCAACCAATGTCATAAAAACAATCTGTGTATAAATTTTTGAATGGGAAACTAATTTACGCTGTAAACTTTCGCCTAAAACAAATAAAATTAAAAAAAAAAAAAAAAAAGTTAGAAATGGAATTACTTTATGATCCAGCAATCCCACTCCTAGGTATACCCCCTAGAGATCTAGTAGCAGGGACACTAAGAGACACATGCATCGCTATGTTCACTGCAGTATTACAACAGCAAAAAGATGGAAACAACCTAAATGCCCATCAACAGAATGGATAAACAAAATGTG